TTGTACAAACTGTAACAATATGTTTGAATAAACAGACCTGAGGCATGACCTCACCTTAACTCCAAAAAAAAAAAAAATAAAAATAAAAACTAATTTGAAAATAAAAATAATAAAATCATATTGTCAAGTAAATAAAACTCTAATTTTAGTTTAATAAAAAAGAAAAACATTCTGCTAATAATGAAATAGTCAAATGACTTTTAGAATTATTTTTTGTTTTTTTTTAGAAATATCACTATATTTTAATTTAAAACTTATTAACTTTTAATGTATAAAATATTTTTTTTTTTTAAAAAAACCATAAAATTAGATTGTAAAAATAAAATAAAGCATTCGATAATATGCTGAAGCTAAGGTTAAAATGATAAATATAAATTTAGAATAATATTAGAATTAAAGTTAAAATATAAGTATAAAGTATTAATTAATAAGAATTGATAATAAATTGGATTAAAAAATTAAATATATATAATTTAGTGAAATGAGTAATGTAAATGGTTAGTTATTGTTATAAATATAGAATTAGAGCAAAAAAAAATGAACTCAAGGTATTCATTTATTATCAAAAACTTGCTGTTATAAATAATACTATAGGAACAAATTTAGTTATAAAAACGAATCAAAGTTAAAAAAAAACAAACATTAATTAGTTCTAAGAGAATTGAGTAAGATAAAGTATTTATTAATTGTTAAAATTAAAAGTATTAGTAGAATCGAATCAAATCACAGAACATTTATTGTGAAATAAAAAATGCTGGTATAATTGATGTTAAATAAAATGAACATAAAATATTCATTATCAATTTTATAAGACCTTATTCAATTATTAATATATATATATAAGTATATTGCTGCCAATTCTGTTAATTGAACATATTTTATAAATATATTTTTGCTAAATGGAATTAATTATCCATACTATGCTTTACTATTTCTATATAAATTTGTATTGAATAAAATTAATTTGTTATATACTTTCTTAAGTTAATTATTTGCAATTTTCTATTAAATAGAATTATAACCTAGACCATAATTCATATCCATGTTTTTATGACCTTATGACTTATAACAATCATAAAAGTATAAAGGTCATAACAGGTCATAAGCCAACACTAATTAAAACAGCCCACTTTTACATATAAACAATTTTGAGTAAATCGATTTTAAATAATGATCTACAAATAATAATAAATATAAAATTTTCAACTTAAAGTTCATTTAGTAAACCTTTTTATTATATAATTGGCTTTGGTAACTTATAACAAACTTTTTTGTTGAATATATATCGATTCAAAAAAAAAAATTTCGAAAATTTGTAAAAATAGGCTGTTTTAATAGATCACACCCCATATAACAGTACCTATTTTTCTAGTTAATAAAATAGGAACGTAGGCTATAATACTTATCAATCAAATCTCTGGATATTCACTGAATTTATTCGAATGTCCATTCAACGTTTTGAACATCAGGATTTTTATTTTTTTTGACCGGATCGGGCCTCTATATTTCGGATCTTTCCCAACTCAAAACATTTTTCATAATTGTGATTTTTTACAATCTCTGTTAGTATCCATATATTTGCTATAAAGAATACAATACTTGCCATCCATATTCTTAAAAATGTATTTTCACCGAGGAATTCAAGTAGATAAGCTTGATAAAGCCAAATAGCCTATCGTAATGATAATATCAGAACCAAAATCCTATCATATGAAAACACATAAACTTAAAAGATAATGAAAGTGTTTACCTGACCACTAATCCATGCAAGTAACATTAAAAACCCTTTATATTTGAATTTGATTGTGGTAGAGTGTATTATGAGTGGGAATAGACAAATATACCACATAAAATACTGCGGGTATTTTTAATTAGTTACAACATATATAATCAATGAATTAAAGGAAAGAAAGACTAGAAAAGTACCTGTGATGTACAAACTTTATTGTAAGTCACGAATGCAAATGTTTGGATGAAACAGGCGAATAATATATCTTTGCCAAATACAATGCCCAATAGCGCAACAAGACCAATTTGTGGTATGAAAGGAACTAAACTCAAGAGTGATCCTCTTGAAATGTTAAAAGTTAGGTAGATATAGTAAAACCACAGTGAAAAATTGTGTCTATGATCTTTGCGAGTCACGTGGTAGAGATATGTTTCATTGATAAATTCTTGTTGATATCTGTTTTTTTTTTTTTTGTAGTCATAAGATTGAGTATTGACAATAGACAATTATTAGACCCGAAAATATCAAAATTGTTGGATTTAACTTACAAAAAATACATAATCCCATTCAAGACAAAGAATACACTACCACTTATCAATGCAAACTCGATTCGTGTCGGTGTAACAAATCTTGACATCTTTCCAACCCAATATCTCCATGAATGTTTATCATGCTCTTTTTCTTTGCCTTTTCTTCTTAACCCCAGATAATCTTCATCATCTAGAAAAACCAATAGTGGGAGAGCATATATGATAGGATATATCTTAAAGTGAACCGAAAGTCCGTATAGAATGCTGGCTAAGAAGAATTTTTTCACAAAAATACAATATAAAGTCAATAGAATTATTGCTCCAAGTAAAGATTCTGCATTTCCACGTGTCGAAATATTTGCTACGATAGGATTTAAAAGCCATAGTGCTGAATACTTAGCGGCTTTTTGATGGTCTAACCCACGTAAACATAATAGTTTATGTATCAGAACTCCCACAACTATATCTGCGAGCATAAACACAAGCTTTCCAAAAGATTTGTGTATATATATATTAGGCGTTAGCAGAAAAGCGAGAAGAGGCGTATAGCGATATGTTGAGCGTTTATATGGACTTCCACCTAATGTGACAAAACGAGCAGCATCGGAAAACACCTTGTAATCTATGTCTGTATATTTCACTTGCATATTCGCGTCCTGCCATTCACCATACACTAACAATGTCAAGCGAAGTACAATAGCAATAATTGATATGGTGGTAATGGAAAACTTTGATATCGACATTATATTCGTTATTATTGTCCTATTGTCTAATATTGCCTAAAATATATTCGAATTTCGCGAATTTTATTAATTGATTTGATCACGTTTGATCAACCAATCAGAGTTTACAAGAAATGGTGGTACATAAAAACAAATTCTTGTAAACTGGTTCTAGAATCTAATTTTCTAGCAGGGGTACCGAAAATTTAATTGCAATTAAATTATTATCGTTATCGTTATACAATTACGATCAAGTAAAATTGATATATACAATTAAATTTAAATTAATTGCAAATAATTGCAAATAATTTCATGTTATGGTAAAGTTTTAGAGTACATCATTTGCAAAAAAAAAGGCCTCTATGTAATACTTGTATGAAACTTTTGCATTCATTTTGAAACCAATTTAAAAATAGATTTAGAGCGCTATTTGATAAATTTTGCAGGTTATTATAAAAAAGATATCGCTTGATATCTTTGATTTTTTTATTCAATTATGTATGGTTTTTTTTTTTAAATACAAATTTTTGGTCAGTAAATATACTTTTACATATGTTCTATCACATATTTTGCAAACTTTAGCAAAAATTGCCTTTACAATTAAATTTTCGGTACACTTGTTTTCAGAATTTGGTGATTAGATTTTGGTACGTATTATCGGACACCATCTTAATGAGTTAAATGATCCAAATATGATCGTATGATCTTGAAGTCTATTCTGATCTTAGAATTTGCAGCCAAATCATGCATTTCTATTCTCAATTGGAGTAGTTTAACAGAAGGAACCGTTAATGTTACACATATAATCCTATTTATGTCTCTATAGTCTATGTGATAAATATAATTTCTCACCAGTTTTAATATAAGTGTAACTTTAACGGTCCCTCCTGTTGAGTAGTTTACATAGTAAAATCGCCCAACGAAAACTCATATCTGCTGATTTGGATAAAGAAATCCAATCTCTTCAATTTAACGTCAATTATATATAATTCATATGTCCAATGAAGCGCGTCACTGTGAGATTGGATTTCTTTACCAAAATCAGCCGATATGTTTTTATTAGAGTTTTAGAATTTTTTTGATCGAGTTATGATTAGTAGTTCAGGAAATCTGCGCCACAAACCTGGCACACCAAGAATCGTGCTACGTATCAATAGTGCAGGGTGTAAATTGTACGCGTAATACGTATAAAGTACCAGCAACTATGAGAAACTTAACTACTATGTAGCATTGTTGAGATTCTTACTACCATATAGCGTTTTATAAAGTACCCCATAGAATAGTACCCGGGTATTATATCATACACAATCCCCCATAAATAGTACCCTACACTATACACAATACCCGGGGGTACTTTGGTTAGCGCAAGTTTTCTGGTATATACCTAGGTACTTTATAGTCGATACATATAATTACTATGTTCCGTAGGGACATTTTCAAGGCAATGATCCAACCAATCACATGGAATCATCAGAATCATCATGACGTAAAATCCTGCTACGCGTTGCCTAATATGAATGTCTTTTTGAATTCCACAAAATTTTGATAATTCCTAAATTAGGGGATATAAATAATACATATACGGATATATTTTTCACGTTGAAAGTTCATTCCTCAATTTTTAAATATGGCTTCATACTCAAGACCAATTATTATTAAAGAGAAGTCACGATCTTTTCTTTCAACATTGTTAGCCTTCTATAATGAGCAGTTACACACTCACCCACTGAGAACAAAAGCGATAACTGCTGGAGTATTAACAGGCTTACAAGAATTTTTGGCCCAAGAATTGAGTGGAACTAATAGTAAGAGAAAAGGAAAAGCAAAGGAAAATGATAAATTTACATTATATGATATAATTGACGAAAAGGTTGTCAAAATGGCATTATATGGTAAGTTTTTTTTTATCACATTAAATGCATATTTACATTTAATTGAAATAAACTTTTTTAAAAACAATTCAATTTCGTTAACCTTACTAATTCCACTAGGATTTTTCATTAGTGGACCACTTGGTCATGTTCTCTTTGAGATTTCAAATAAAACTTTTAAAAATCGTGCTGGTAGTGGAACAAAATTATTGCAAATTTTAGTGACTTTATTGGTTATATTTCCAATTCAACATATTGGTATTTCACAGATAATCTTTGTTTTATTATCTTAACTGATAAAAAAAGAATTAGAATTATTCATATTCATTCTTTTTTTTTTCAGTTTATTTGGCGGCTATGGCAATCATTGCTGGTTTAAGAACACCCGAACAAGTTCTGGCATCAATAAAAAAGTCACTATGGCCTATGGTGAGAACGACTTGGATCGTGTTTCCCATTGTTCAGACTTTTGCACAAAAATTCTTGGAACCACATTTATGGGTGCCATTCTTCAATTTGGTTGGGTAAGATATATATACATACATACACACATATATATATATATATATATATATATATATATATTATATACTGCATACGTACTGTATTCGACATTGTTCGTTGCATATTATTAATAATATAATCGTGTTAATCTTCTATTAGATTCTCTCTTGGGTTACATGCTACTACCAAAGCAAAGATTCGACAACGAAAACTTTCTGAAGATGATGATCAATAAAATAACATGAGAATGGTTAAAATACCACTCCAATGTTAAAATAAAAGAAATAAGCATTCTAAAATTCATTCAATTAACATTGTACTGTAATAGTTGTATATTATCAAAATAAAACACAAGTTTAAAAAATTAAATTACTATTTTTTTTTTTTTATAGAATACTATGTGAGTTGGTTATTTATGTGTAAAACAGAGGCAAAAAAATGTGATCTCAAATCATTTACAAACATTACCCAAAGTTGATTACTTTTTTTAAAAAAAAAAATTTCAATCAAACTTTCAATCATGATTATATAACGACTAGTATAATGTGGGATCTTTGCTTTGAAATGATTTTATGGGACATGTTCCATAAGGTCATTTATTAACATTACGTATTTCTATACAATTTCTCTATAAATGTATATACTTTTAATTTATTAGTATTCGATTCCAATTTCCTTACTCTTTTCGTTACAACTCAGAGTAAATATTACTTGTACAAAAAGTGAAAAAACAAGAATTATATATATTCATTATTCATGATAAAATTCAATTTGATTATTATTAAATGGTAAAGAAAAAGGTAACGTAACGTACAATAATCAAATTATGTAACTCTTTAATCTGACAACGTTTATATAAAAAGTAAAGAAATATAATGTAATATATATAATAAATAATATACTTACCAAATGTACCACACAGTTGACCTCCTTAAGCCAAATTTTTCTCATTAAAAAGTCTAATAAAGTATAGTATTAAAAAAAAAAATTTTTTTATATGAAGGAGTAAAAGAAAAAGTTATCTGCTTATCAAAGAATTTGCTTAAAAAGGTTGACTATGTATTGTCCAATCCTCTTAAAAAAACACACAATTAAATAAATTGTGAATTTAGACATTTGCTACAAATCCTCCTTCAACACCTGGTTCAAGTAATGCGGCATGGCCAAGCACTAATGTGGCCGAAGCACCTATTAGTGAAATAGGTATCCCAGTTAAAATTGAATAAATTTATCTTTTTAATAAATAAACAAAATATTATAATAATAAATTGTTACTTACCGACAATCCAAAATATGGTAGAACCGGCTGAAGATATCCATAAAAGTGGAACAGAAATACCAAATAATCCCATATATAAATGTTTTTGAGTGATAACACGATCTTGGATGACTAGTGGTTCATTTGGTGGTAGTTTACGAATATAATTTAAACCTCCAAGGAGGAAAAGAATGGTTATAAGTAGCCATATATTGGCGATTCTATTGAAGAAAAGATTATCGTATATAAATTAGAACAAAAAAGAATGATTTGATTAAAGTATAAAGTGTATACTTACACACAATAAATCAACAATCCTATAACAATGAGGATATAGTTCGATTGAAAGTAAGTCAAATTATAAGAAAGTCTTTGAGCAACAGCTGAATAAAAAACGAATAAAGTTTAATGTGTTATTAAAAAGAACCTAAAAACATTAATATTTCTACAACACAATAAATTTTGCTTAATACGACGTGCTTACCTCCCATGCCAGCAGGTTTTGAGATTCTGCTTCTATCAAAAAATTCACCAAAAGGTCGAACATTTCCTAGTCTTTCATTTTTAAAACGATTCAAAAGTGACAGACGTTCTTGAGAAATTGGAAGATTATCAATCCCAAGTCCCGCAAATGGGTTTGGTGCTGATGTTGCTGTTGCTGTTGCTGTTGACATAGTTATTAGATTTTATTATTTGCTTTCTCTAACGAAACAATTCTTTAGAAAGAAATGATATAATACGTATTTATAGTACGTAATGTAATATTTTTAATGACATTTTAAGTATACGTAGTGAAATTCTTAATGCTAATGATTGGTCAAACAAATAAAGTAAAATCATTGGATGTTAGAGTTTAAATCTTGAATTAGGTAGAAAAATTTCCGTTGTTTGAGATCAGAAAAAGAAGCACGTAATAGTAAAATGATACATATGTTAAAGTTTTAACAAAGATTTATTAAAGCCAATTACGAGTTCATTATACTATCTCTATGTAACTTTACATCTGTCTGTGGTGCAAATCATGTAAAGACATCCAAAATTGTAACTCACTCGACGAATATCCAGAACTTTGCATTGTTTTGCGTGGTCTAAAATAAGACCTGTAAAGTAATGCATCTTTTTTTATCGTTTTTGAATTTATTCTTATTGTTATTCCTTGAGGAGATGCAATTAAGAAAAAACAAGTTTTCGAAGATTAATAATTGGCAAATCACTATTTGATTGGTCGTCTTAATCGTCGCTAGTGGTTATAGTTGTTATAAACAATGAAATATGTATAAATATGCAAGAAATTCATACATATTTCATTGTTTATATAAGTGATATTACTATATTAGTCGATGACTTGAGTTGTATAAAATACTAATCGTCACACTGAATTACTCATCGACACTCTTTAAATCTTTAAATATTCTAATTGACAATTTTTTTAATTAAATTAATTGTTTCAATAAAAGTTTTTATATAGTTCGATAGAAATCTTAGCTTCTTTACTTGTTGAAAAAAATTAACTTACTTTAATAAACATTTGCAATTTGTCTTTTACTATGATCTCTTTAAAACTTTTTCAATTTGGTATATATCATCAATTAATTTTGTACAATATGTATTTCATTCATTATTTTACAGAAAACATCGAAATTATTTGTATGGTTCAAGTTTATTTTCGGCAAATCGAAAATAATCTAATGAAATAGATTCAATTTCAATCAAACCTTTTTTTTTTCCTAATTTCATTGAGAAATATAAACTTGAGTGGTGTTTAACTAATTACAAAAATATATACAGTATATAGTGGTTTTTGTTAAAATAGAAGCGATCTAACTTTTATATAAAGGAGATTGTTTTTATATATTCCTCCATCTTCTATCTACATTTAGAGACTGCCATACTTCGTAAACAATAGTTCTAGGTCCACCTACAATATCAGATTTTTCACTTTCAAGCATCCGAGCTTTAAGACCACACAAAATTCGAAATGCAAGTTTCCAGCACGCTTCACTTTCCGGATTCTTCGTAAAAGATTGTATATACAATGCAGCTGCTTTTAATCTCAATTCGAATAATGTGATATCATGGTTTAAATCTGATCTATCGACATGTTTTAATATGTCGCTTTGATAATTTGTTGTGGGTGGAAGATTTGTAAATTCTTCCGTATATTGATAACTTATAGCTTTTATTCTTGCATTTTTTGAATGAACTGAATTTGATGGTGGTGGTTCTTGGTTACTTGAATTTAAAAACAAAGGATCGACCTTTTTATCATCATCTATTATTTTAACAACATCGTGGTTATGTTTTCGAAGAATTAAACCAGTAACATCAATAATAAGGTTCAAATCATTCATATACTTTTTATCGTCATTCGCTCTTGCATATTCACGTAACCAGAATTGTTGAATATGGTAATCAAGTATATCAACCCGAACATTAGGTGCAACGGTAAATTCTGGTGAATTTACAAATGATATTTCTTCTTGGATAGCTCGTTTAATATCATCCATAATACACACACTTTTAAAATTAGAATTTTTTTTATCATTACCCATCCAAGGAGGTTGTGGAATTTTTAAATACTTTTTATCTGAATTAAGTACAGAAGGTTTAAGAGTTTCTCCTTGTTTTGTTGCATCCAGTAACCTAGCAGCTACTTGTGCTAAATAAATAGATTTTGGATCAGATAGCCCATGGTATGAAGAATATAATCTATGCCAATAATCGTATAGACCTCTAGGTGTTAAAGAATCCCTAAAATATTCATTAAGGAATAATTGTTGAATTTTTTTTGTACAAAGGTCTAAATTCTCCTTAACGGGTTCCAAATACTCGGCCACAGTCTCTTTACATTTTTCAAACGCATTTTCTACTTCAGGTAAAGTTTCTGCTACAGGAGAATTTTCGAATGATTTTGTTATTCTGGGATCCCAACAACAAAATACTTTATCACCATCATAATCACCACCACTTAATTTCGCGGCTAAAGGGCCTTCCCTCGATTGAGACTTTACAGGAAAAATTACAACATTATAATATTTACTTAATAATGGATTATTGACTGCCCTAGCTTTCTGAATATCAGATGGGAGAACACAAGGATTTCGTGATAGTATCACATCACCTTCAATTATTCCAAAACGCATTCCCCTTTCATCATAACCAGCTTCACCATCTAATTGAATAAAAATTTCGCCATGATCTAAAGAATTAGTTGGATCGGCGACACAAATAAGGGATCGTGATAATGGAGTTTCAATATGAAACTTGGAAGCCATACTTGTTAATTGACCTTTTAATAATTGTTTTAATTTTTTAGCTAAGAATGGACAAGTTGATGGGATAAACCCAGCGTCAAGCATTTCTATACAAATTTCAGAATTATTATCAGGGTAACCAGATAAGGAAACACCACCTAATCCAGAATTAGTACTAACTTCACTTATATTATCATTAACATCAGAATCATTATTAGTAATTCTCTCTTCAATACGTCTATGCATTACATTTTCTGATTTCGTAATCCAAGCACGTAATATAGTTGGATTGTCTTGACCTACTACCATATTTCTAATCTTTTGAACATTTTCTCTTATCATATCAATAAATACTGTTGCAGGTACACCACCATTTTCTAAAATTCTGATCACTTGAGCATTTAAAGCAGCGGGACGATCTGGAGCCCTAATAATTCGAACGAGATCTAGAATTCTAAGATGATGATTATTTTTTGTAAAATCCAATTTATATTTAGTTTGTGATTGACGTAAATTAATTCTAAGTTCATATGGATCTTGAACTTGAGGATCCAAAAACCAAATTCCTTTAGCACCCCCTATTCTCGCTTGTATAAATTGAGGAGTTTCTTTATAGTCCATTATTTTTGCTACTTCTCTCATTGCAGCTAATGATATTGCAGCACAACCATCAGTTAAACATTGACCTATAGTATTTTCTATATCAGGTTCGTTATAACGAATTTGATCATGATTAAAAACTATGGAAGGTGTTGAATCAGAAAAGCCTAATGAAATACGACTATAAAATTTTGCGGTTGTCATTTTAAGATTACAATTTATTGGAATATCAGAATTAATTGCATCCCAACAATTTATAGGTTCAAGACCAGAACCACTTGTTGCAAAGTAATATAAAGTTCTATCTCTAGCATATAAGAATTCATAAGTTCTGCCCGCTAGTTCCAAAGGTTGTAATAAAAGATCTTTTAACATAGAAAATTTTGTTTCATCTAATTCTTCTATATTGTTGATTTCTTTATTAATTTTTATGTGTAAGAATCTTTCTGAAGAAAACATTCTATAATATCTTTTTGATTGACAAGTTCGAGGAGGATTAAGTTCCAATTCCAATTTTCCATTTTTCATCGTTACATCTGCAGAATAATAAATATGTTTTCTTTTCCCTATAGACTTTGTAGATTCAGTAATTTCAAAAATTAATCTGTTATATGGAATTAATTTACATAATTCTTGACCATTAAAATTTCTACAGGAATCCATTAAATATTCTTTGCAAATTGATTCGAATGCGTCATAAAAGTCCAAACCAGTTTTACAATTATTTAATTTGTTTAAAACATTTATAGAATAATGAATTTTACCGAAAGGTTTTAATAATCTAATAAATTCATACCACACTAAAAAAGGGAAACCTAATAGGATATTCTCGTACTCTGAAGGAATTTTTGTAGAGCACTTTATTGCACCTTTTGGAACCCAAACAATAGAATTCAAGTCGGTAGGATTATTATTAGTAGTAGTAAATTTATTTGAGACAAAATTTACAGGAATTTCGACATTATTAGAAAATATATCATTCCAATTTTCATCAGCGGTTTCAAAAAGAGAAAACTTTGTGTATTGTTGATGAAGGTCTTGTTCAAAATCAGCTTGCAGTTGCTGGAACGCGTCTTTGTCGATTAATGATCCAGAGGGCATAGATTTTTTAAAAAAATGATCTATTAATCCATCTAAACATCTAACATCTTTATAAGCCAAATCATCCATGTAAAATTCATGAGATGATGTGACGAATGGTTCACCCATACGATATTTGGACATGATATTCTCAATTGTTCGTTTTCTCTCATTTACCACCTCATTAAATGAATTTTTGCTATCTAAATTCATGTTAACTATGTTAGAGTTATATTGATACATGGTGATAGGAATTATGGAATAAAATTGATGTGTTTGTTCTCATAACCAGGCCGTGACTAATCTTTAATTTATTTATTGTCTGGGAGGTGGTTTTTAAGTAGAATTCTTGATTTCTCCTTTTTTTTAAAAAAAAAATTTTAGAATGCATGATTTTTTCATACTTAATATATATATTAACTTTCTTTTATAATGTTAATTATGCTAATTTTGGAATGGTGCAGCAATAACTGTTTTTTCCATTACACTAAACCTGATCTAACATCGACAACAATGTAAAAGTATTAACCTAATTATATTGTACGTAAAAAAAAAAAAAAAAATACAATACTGCAATGTACTTGGCCGCTTTTAAATTACTTACACACATGTCTTTTACGTATAATATCTTTGTCTTCTAACCGGAATTATCGAGTTTTTTTTTTTTAAAAAAAAATAATAATAATAATAAATTTCCGACGTTATATCGTATTGATGATTTACCCATACCGGTATTACTACGTATACCACGTTTCATTAAGATCGTATCATGGGAACTTTGAATATTTGTTAATATTTTTTGAACCCTACATATCAGATATGCATACGTATGTACGTACGTATGATGAAAAAAAAACCGTTTACGTATCAATACAGTAAAAAAAAAAAAAATTCTTTTATAGACGTGCGTACGTGAATGAATAACAAGTAAGGTATATAAAGAATACTGTCACCACTAAAAAGTAACGCCAGATTTACATATTTAGAGGAAAAAAAAATTTTTTTTTCAATAACTTAAGATTTTCGTTTTACCATAAATTAATTAGTACTACATCATCAAATGAAATCCTTATCATTATTTGATGCTTCACAAGTTACTCATCTAGTGAATTGACATGAATGAATGTTATCGATACGACGAAGGCACTAAAACAAACATATGCGACGCCACTACTTACATATGTATTACAAACCCCAAGTTAGGGTCACCTAAAGCCGTAATCATCTGATTTTGTTAAATTTATCCATCATCAATTCATAATGGTAATCGCCTTATAAACAATAAAATTTCCAACTCTTAAAACTCTAATGAAAAGAAATAATCAAATTATTAAGTGTTAATTATAATTAATTGAATAATTATAATCAATTAAATTCGACTTAAAATCCAACATTCAAGAAAAAGAAAACGAAAGTGCAAAAAATCGATCTTGTTCACTAATATAATTAATGCGACTTATACGTAACTTTTTATACTATGTATATAACATTCTTATTTTCACACGTTATGTAATACGCGTTTCAAATAAGTAAACTCTTTGATAATCTAATTTTATGCATCTATATCTTTCAATAGCTCAATGATCCAAATAATCCGATTACAATTAGCCTTAATACTAGAAATGTAAGAGAACAGTATAACGATAAATGTTATCGAACGAAAACGTACGTATGTATATTCGTACATAATTATGTACGAAATCCCATGATAAATGAAACATGTATTGTATAAACCTGTTTGTAAGTAATGTATGTTATAGTTTGTATAGATGTAGGCTACGGATTTATGTATGGTTAGCATTAGAGAAACTTATAAAGTTTATCTTTTATGAATGATCTCTTTTTAATCTTTTTAATAGTTAGGGTTTGAGTGAGTGCTAATATTACACTTCTTTCATGTTAGGGTTAGCATAGGCTAAAGGTAAAGTCTCAAAGATTTTTTTTTTACGAACTATACATATTATCTTAATCTTTACTATATATACATACTTTATTAACTATACATTACATGTTTGCTACGTATTTACTCATGATACAGATATGACCAAATTACAAAATGTAAGATCCGGCGTACGTATATGTACGTAAAAAAGTTATCATTACTATCGTTATTCTTATACGTATCAATATCTGTATAAATAAATATAAAAAATTGTGTTACGTATAAGTAAACAAAAAATTTACACTATAAATATATTTGATTGGTATTGGAAAAATTACTGTAATAAATATTATACTATAATTAATAAATATTAATTAACTAAAGAGTGTAGCAACTTAACAAAGTAGATAAGTTGTCATTCTTTTAAGTAGCAGAATGTAAATTCAAAACTTACTAAAGATAAAATTTAAAAAAATATATCTGTATTATAGCAATAACATTCTGTTAATTAGTTGAAATAAGATGCTTATAACTAAGGTTGTACTAGTATAACTGGCAGGTTATGAGATATTTGTATAACTTTAGTTATACAAAAGAATGCAAACTGGTACTAAGTTATACAAACTCAAAATAAGTTTATATAGTTATATAACTTTATAAAACTAAAAAAAATAAAATTTACTTAGAAAGTTCTAAGTAAAAAAGTAATACAGATTTTTGTCAATACTATTGTAAAAACTATACTTAGAAACCAGATACTAATATAAAGAATTAAATAGGCAAAAATCTCTAAATAAATAGTATTACTAATTAAATTATTAAAATTAAGTTAGAGAAAAAGAATATTAAGTTGAATTCAATATACTAAAGACAAATTAGTCTTATTAAATTATTTAAATTAGAAATTAAATAACAAAGCAAAAGTATACTATAAGTATTAAAAATATATTATAAAGTTAATACTAAGATCTGTATAAATTTTATAAAAATATAGTTTTGTTAATATTCTATAAAGTGAATAGATTAGTTAGCAAAAGGGTTTTTAAAGTCTTATAATTAAATAATATATACTAAAAATATGTAATAGTTTAATAAATATATAAAAAAAAAACTAAATATTAAATAAATAGCACTTTAATATATAAAAGCTACAAGGCAATTTAACTAATACAGTATAAGAATTAAAGTATTTAAATAAATAATTTTTTAGCATATTACAAATATGGCAGTTAATATAAAATCTATAAACAAACTACTTAAATAGATAACTAAAAGTTGTATATGTGACTAGTTATATACTAATCTTATATAAATTATATATATAAATATATAATTAAAAATTACAATAAAAAATGATAGTTGCTAATAAACATTAATCTTAATAAAAAAAAATATATTAATTTTTTTTTTTTTTTTTTTGAACTTTGGCGACAATGCCAGTTGGTTTTTATTAGCTTAATCTTTGATATAGTACAAA